TTTAATCTAGATTATCAAAGTACATAAGGCACATTATCTGCTTTGACCTGGATTATATGAATCTACACTGCCAGATAATCTGGGATAAGCAGATAATCTGGGATCAGATCCTGAGATATAGGGCAGTGTATCTCTAGCCATAGACATACAAGACTGGACCTTTTCACTGGTATGTCCAGGTTTTAGAGTCACTTCCATTAGCAACAGTGGATTTAATGCGATTTTTTTGTTTTTAGGGTAACTTCTTTCACCTTGTCAATCAATCTTAAGCCGGATTCTCAAATTACTTTTACAGTGTGTGTGTGACCAAGATGTTGTGATATGTGGTGTCAAACCATCATCAATATGGCTGAGTGATTTTATTATTTAACAACATCAGTGACATATAGGAAATCAGAATCCATATGAGCCATTGCAATACATAGCCCCTCACTTGCCCAAAATACAATGTAATTTGAAATAAATCGTAAATTTGAATATAAATCAGAACTATGTTTCTACCAGCAACTAGGGAAATCCACTATTTTTTCTGCCACAACTAAAGTAGATTCAAAAAATAAAGTTATACATAGGTTCAATACTCAATTTCAGAATAATTTCCAAGAAGGAGAGGCAGAGGAGAAGCTGGAGAAGGGAAAAGGAAAAGCAGATGCCAGTTATTTACCTTATTAGATTAGAATCAGTCTCCAGCTCTAATTAATTGGTGCTGATTCTTATTTGTCTTCCTTATTTGATGTTCAAACTGACTCTCCAATTCTTTTTGTCTTTGTCTAATTAGAATAATAAAGCACTGCATCTTTACCAAATTTCCAATGCCTTTTATGCTAACAAAACATGCATTATTTCATCTCTGTCTAATTAATATCACGTTTAATAGCTGGTTCACTTTAGGTTAGGTTCCAGTGTACTTAAGGGTTTAAAAAAATAATTTGAGATCCCTCTTAAATTAATTGTATAATTAATCTTGTCAAATTAGGTAACATTTCATAAAGGGCCTTATTAAAGAAACCTGGATATTTCAAATTGCAGTGCTATTAGGCAGTAATAAAGAAGTTTCCGTTCTGTATTGTTCTGCTCCAGAACACAAAGAAAGTAATTACAATATAAAAAGTGCCTTCGATAGCATATTAATAAGTATCCTTTTCGTATTATGTCCCTCATAAGATGGATGAGCTTTTTGAGGAATAGAAGCAAACACAAAATATGTAGAAGGTAACAATGGTGTTGGTGACTGGGCAGTATGAAATACTGAATGGTTAATTGACTGGAATGTCTAATAAAAACACTTCTGAGACATCTTCAAGGAAAAGAACAATACTTTTTTTTCTTCTCAGGCCTTCCTTGCACCCAGGAAGAGCAGTATGTTGATTTCTCCACTATCAGTGAAGGACTATTTTATTTTTTTCAATAATCTCCAGAGGGTTACAAAATACATTGACTTCTTACAGAGGAGGCTGGAAGGGTTTCCTCCAGAGATTCTCTAAGGGTGACCATGAAGATGATATGCAGGAATTCAGAATCAGGGATGGCATTTGTGATGGAAGAGAGGCAGCCAGGCAGGCTGAAAAAAGGAGAATGGGTAATGAAAGGGACTATCAATTTTTTATGTAAATGGAAATTATATTCAAGGTCATCATAAAGTCCAGATACTGAACCCATATTGATGTGCAAGAAATATTTTCATATACAGTACACTGAAAACTATCTATCTATCTATCTATCTATCTATCTATCTATCTATCTATCTATCTATCATCTATCTACCTACCTACCTACCTGCATTTCTGCACTATACAAATCAATTAATATTGGTTTATGTTATAGAATAATGGGTACACATACCGAGATAGATGGATCACTTGTGTATCTATCCAGGGCAGTCAGTGACAGCTGGAGGCTTCCAGTCAGTGGGGTAAAAAATCTGCTTTTGGATTTGAAAAAGCTATAAAAATACTTGGTCTATTTCAAGGATAGGATTCAGTAATATGGATAACTTCTTTAAACACAGCCTAAAACATGGGGTGGATTCTTACTTACTTAGGCAATCCCTCGTCCGAGTAGGATAGTCTTACAAGATCAGTGTACTGGCAGTGGGTCCGTAGGTGACTGTGGAGCCCTGTTCTTGATCTGCATCTTCTCCCACAGTGAGGGCATTGGTTTCCAGGTGGAAGGCGGTCCTGGTCGGGGTTGGCTTGATGTGCCTTCCTCTTGGCATGTTTCTCTCTTTCACCCTCCATTCGTACCCCTTCAATTTCTACAGCACTGCTGGTCACAGCTGACCTCCAGATGGAGCACTCAAGGGTCAGGGCTTCCCAGTTCTCAGTGTCTATGCCAGAGTTTTTAAGGTTAGCTTTGAACCCATCTTTAAATCTCTTTTCCTACCCACCAACAATGGGGTGGATTCACCACCCCACTGACATGGAAGTCCCCGGCCACCATTGTTTTATTGTAAGTAGTGATATCAACCACAATGGCTATATGACACACTCTTTATATTATCTCATGAGTTTTGAACTCAAGGAATGACTTATAGTAAACAGATTTATTGCATTCACACATCAATACTAACTTACCACTGTAAAGATCCAAAAGACCTCTATCACATTATTCAGCCCTTTAAAAATTTAGGGAAAGAGACAATTTGGATTTTTCTGAATCCTATTACATTCTAGCCCACTCCCACAACTGTAAAAATAAGGCTTTGATATCACTCTGTATTGCATCAGATGAAGTATCCATGAATGCTCATGTAACATTCAGCTAGTCTTAAAGATGCTGTCAAATTCAACCATTCCCTTTGTCCTCCTTAGTTGCATCTGTGCATTTTTATCTATGTTGTGGCCTGTCTTGGCTCCACTGTTATGAAAAAAAGTGGATGGATAGAGAATACAACTAATGGAATTATGAAAAAATGCAATCATTGATTGTTTACTAATTCTGCAGTCAACCCATGACTTTGAACAAAATGCAGAGCCTTCATTCTTGGCTAAATGTCTACTTTATTTGTCATTCTAAATTTCTGAAAGTAAATTCATTAAGGAGAACCCATTCAACTGGATTGTTTGTGGCCAAGACTGCCCATGCATTAACTATATCCTAGTTGAGAACAACAATATGTAATACAGTATAATTGTCCACTATATTTTCCCCCTATAATTTGATAAGTGCTGAATTTTACAGAGCTGCGTTCTTGTTGATTTCTAACAGAACTGTCATTCTGAGTAGCTGGTGTTTTTCCCCCATTTTATAATGATATTTGGACTGCCCCTGTGAAGTTCATTTTCCCTCTGCCCTCTCCCCATAATCTATAATACTAGATGTTTCATATTATATTACTTTTCATTGAAATTTGATTTCACTCGTGTCAGCCATACCGCTCAACCTGTCACTGGCCTCCTGCTGATGCAACTGACACTCTCAGACAGTTCTGTTGTTGCTCAGCGGAAAAGAGAGAGAGGCGGAGTGAAAGAAAGGGTCCCAGGAATTTATTTATGCTAAAGCATTTATTAAAATCAATCTTATTCACCTGCAGGGTTTCTCTTTATTATTTTAAGCCCCCTCTGTCATTCTATATTATCATCAGTTGTTAATAAAACTAGCCACTCACAGTGGGGGTGAAATGATTTTTATCAGGTGTGTATTAACAGCACATGCTGAGCCCAACTAACTCTTTTTACAGTTCGCTATTTGTCTCTGGTGGCGATCCACCCTGCCATTAGTATTTCCCACCTTCTGTGCAGGCATAAAAGGGTTTTATACTGAGCAGATAGACCAAACCATGCCAGGTACCTTATAATTGAGAATAACGGATTCCTGAAAGTTTCAACCCAACTCAAGTCTGGAGTGAATACATTTTGATGGTTTGTGCCATTTCCTCATTCCAACACAGAGAAGATAACTAGGCTGAGAGGATGGAATTTCCCACTAAACGAGAAACAGAAGACTAGTTAAAGGGGCTCATAACAAATCGTACAACTTATACTTGTCTTCCAGTAGACAGAATATCAGAAAAGAATAGAAGCAACAGCTGAAATATTGTAATCATTGTTGGCCAGCAACTGCTACATAATGTAGTTGCTTCACTCATTTTAATGCTAGGCTGACCTGACAAATATGCCCATAGTTTGATTAAAGTCTAGATAACCATTCCAGGAATGAAAACTGTCAAGCTTTTCAGATGGCAACTGATGGTGTTCTGCTTCATAAAAGAGTGTGGGGAACATGGTGCCAGCAGAGGGCAATCAGATGGGGGGAATCATGAGTGCATGTGGTGGGCATGGCTTCCCCCCATGCTTTGCAATGGTAACACAGGAGCCCTTCTTCATGATGCTGGCATCATGTGATGTGAACTGGCCGGCTCCATGGGTGACGGGGGCTAAATCAGCACATGCTGCTGAATTTAGCCTCATGTGAAGAGGTCCATTGACTTGAATTCAGTGTCTAGTTCACAGTTAAGTAGACCCATTGAATCAGTGGGACTTTGCAATGTGTTAACTTGCCATTCAACAATTGAATGGAGATACTCTACTAATTAGATTCAAGCCATTGTTTTTCAATGGGCAGTGTATGGCAAAATGTGGCCACTAACTCTAGCTGTTGGCGCTATTCCCTCTGGGCTCATATCCCACCATCAATAGATATGGCATTTGTTGCAGTGGAGGTCTCACTGTTTGTGGCAGGATCACTGTTGGCTCTATGGCTGATTTTTCCTCTAAGCCTTACATCACTATTGCTTGGGTTTTCACCACAAGAAGGGTCTCAAATTGCAATGCTGCTATTCCATTCCCTGCCATGTTCAAATGGTACTGTAGAACCAAGTAAATGCACTCATTGTTTCCTTGTTTTGTTCCCTTATTCGTGACATTTTGATGTACCATCAGGACACACGTGTAACATAGCTGGTAATGGGTTGACTTGGGTTAGCAGGCTTTAAATCTATATTCAAAAAAGCATACTTGCAGTAATGTATCTAACCCTGTGATTTATCTTCTTGTCTGAAGGTGCGGAAAAACACAACTGCTGCCTATCACTTCAGCCAGTATTCTGAGACCTGAAATCATAACAGATGACCAAATAAATCTAGTTCAAACTCTCTTGGAGCTGAGTTATTTGTGACCTGTTTTATTTATTGTGTCATGTCTGAAGGCACCAAATCCCATGTGAGCTTAGAAGCTGAACAAATTCAGTCCTGTTGTAGTCCTTGGACACAAGTCTGACAAGGACCATCATGCTATATTGCAGACGAAAGAGCTAACAAATCACCTCTTGCCAAAAAAAGAACTTCTCTGAAATTAATGTGGTCACCATAAATTAACAGGTGGCACAGACACACCTCTATCTTTAATAGCGGGCAACAACCCATTCTTTCTTATAAGGATTTCTAGGCACCTACATTGCACCTATACTTCACACCTTCATTTTTATGTATACTTAACAAAACCAGAACATGTGAAGCAATTCTAATATTTTACTATCTCTTGACAATTTTACCATACATCAGAAACAGATGGGTTGAATACCATGTGCTAATCAGTGTTTCTCAACATGTGGGTCCCCAGGTGTTTTGGACTACAACTCCCAGAAATCCTAGCCAGTTTACCAGCTAGGTTCTTGTGGGTTTTTCCAGGCTATAGAGCCATGTTCTAGAGGCATTTCTCCTGACGTTTCGCCTGCATCTTAACAGTTTACCAGCTGTTAAGATTTCTAGGAGTTGAAGGCCAAAACACCTGGGGACCCACAAGTTGAGAACCACTGCACCAAATACATAGCTATATGCAGAGAGTCATAATCTATAAAGAAAGGATTTTATGAAATGTTCAGGAGATTAAATACAAATATGGTCCAGACTTTCACAGGTTGTGGTTCTCTATGCTGGCTTTTATTCAGCAATGCTGTACAAAATATTTTAAAAAAACAGTATAGTGAAATAATAGACTCAGTATCTCATTTCTTCAGAGTTAAAAACTTTATAAATTGTTAAGTGTAAACTAAGGACACGAAAGATGTCAGCTTCCATAGTATTTATAAAAGCATAATAGTGTTTTTTTCTATATACTTTATTAACAAGCCAGTGTTACATTTACATTCTTAAGGTAAGTATCACAATATGTCCTCAATATAGTATTATAAAGCGAAATAAAAATATCCGTCCCATTTCTTTCTTCCTCATTTTCTTCCTCTCCCCAATTCTGTTGGGCTTCAGGGTTTCCTGGGAGAGTAATCATATTCCCTGTAGAGTAGAACTCAATTTTAAGACTGCTTTTCTTTTTCCTTTTCTTTCCCGCATTCTTACAGTCTGACAAGAGGCTTTCTCTAGAGAGCCATCTTCACCAGCCTCTTTGTATTTGCTGTCACTTGTTGGCATTTTCCTCCATGTTAAGAAGTCAGGAATGTAGCCATTGCTGCCAACACCTTATAGATCTACTTGTAAAAAATATATATATAACAAAATAAATTTAATGCACTAGACTAATGATGATGGACAAAGGTAATTTTCCAAATTTTCCATGGTGAAAATGAAGCTTCATTTCTGACTTTGGATTCCTATCAAATTCACTGAAGAGAAAATAAATGACCTCTTGGATGAATACTGATGTTCTCCATTGGCTGAAATATGATGCAATTTCTATAGCACATGTTCAGAGGAAAAGAAATGATGGGTGTCAAAATGATGCTAATTTTGGAGACTTGCAAGTGTCTTGGGTGCTGTATGCCACTCAGTGATTATAGCAGGTTGGGGAAAAAAAACTTTCTGGGTTCCTTATGTTGTTCTTGGATTAAAAGACTTGGCAGCGTTTTGTCAGCTAATCAGTATTTCTTCCTGTACTTGTGTGTGTGTGTGTGTGTGTGTGTTTTTTTTATTAAAGTGTAAAACATAGTTTAATGAATTGGTGACATCTCCATTCAAAATTATTTGAACCAATTGTGTTTATGCCTATATTGTCAGTAAGTTACCCTATCTCCGATCTGAAGATAGTGTTAGACCCTGTTCGTTTCAAAGGACAATGGATACATTTTAATATGTAAATCGTTTATTTCCCAATGAATTTGAAAATGCTAAATTTTGATTGGATAGTGTATATACTGATTCATTTTGGCATGTTTTAATGCAGTAATCAAATGCCATTCTGCACTAATTCCTATAAAAGGAATCCTGCTTTCTTTGAATATATCAGCTTTTTCCCCTCTCCTTTGGGTGCATACTGTGTTCTTCAGCCATTCAAGTTCAAAATCTCTTGAATGCCAAGTTAAATTGTTGTTGGCCCAGACAAAGACTGTTTCAATAACTTTTGTTAAAGCAAATCTCATTTCAAAATTAAATGTAAGTTGCTATGCAGTGCTTTTTCCATGGTGCTCCGTTTAGCTCCAGATCATTTATATTTTGTCAATCAGTCCAACAGTGTTATTTATTTATCTATCTATCACATAATAACCATGCTGAAGAGAATAATTTATCTGGCATAGCATGGTAATTTGTACTATAATTTCACCCCTGCTGCTGCAGACTTGCATTCCGTTACAGTGATGCTTGGGAAAATTATGTTTCTGAGGTAATTTTTTCTGGCTCTGTTTTCTGCCTTTCATAATTTTATTTTGTCTCATCTCCAGTGAAGGGTTCATCCAAAAATATAAAAATTGCAGGGCAAAGGGGGATTGTTCTTCAAGCCTTCAGTTTTTAAATCGATGCTTTAAAACCTCCTTAAAATTAAGTTCATGCCTTCAAGAGAGAGCAATAAAATAAATGTGTGTATTTCAACATTTATGTTAACACATTAAACTCAAAATTCAGTGTTTCCTCTTGATGCAAAATCCTAAAACTTGAATCCCAACCCCTCCCATTGATTCAATATAGTGGATGCATTGGGATTCTGGGTACAGAAGAAGACAGAATTCATTTGGGTCATATTTTATTATGTTCCTGCAGTGTGTTCATGGGGAGCATGCGGACTGGAAATGCACATGAAGATTCTTTGTATGGAAGAACAAAGAATTAATCTAAGTCAGGCATTATTTTCTATCTTGCAGTGTGTCCATGGGAAATAGGGGGACTAGAAACTCCCAGCTTTCACCCAGTAATCATTGTCAACAGTACTTACTTAGGTGATCCCTCGTTGGCTGAGTAGGATAGTCTTCCAGGTGGGTCCGTAGGTGACTGTGGAGCCCTATTCTTGATCTGCATCTTCTCGCACAGTGAGGGCATTGGTTTCCAGCTGGAAGGTGGTCTCAGTCGGGGTTGGCTTCACACGCCTTCTTCTTGGCACGTTTCACTTTTTCGTCCTCCATTCATGCCTCTTCAAAATCTGCAGCACTGCTGGCCACAGCTGACCTCCAGCTGGAGCACTCAAGGGCCAGGGCTTCCCAGTTCTCAGTGTCTATGCCAGAGTTTTTAAGGTTGGCTTTGAGCCCATCTTTAAATCTCTTTTCCTGTCCACCAACATTCCGTTTTCCGTTCTTGAGTTCGGAGTTAGAGCAACTGCTTTGGGAGACAGTGGTCGGGCATCCGGACAATGTGGCCGGTCCAGCGGAGTTGATGGCGGAGGACCATCGCTTCAATGCTGGTGGTCTTTGCTTCTTCCAGCATGCTGACGTTTGTCCGCCTGTCTTCCCAAGAGATTTGCAGGATTTTTCGGAGGCAGCACTGATGGAATCGTTCCATGTGACATCTGTAGACAGTCCACGTTTCGCAGGCATATAGCAGGGTTGGAAGGACAATAGCTTTATAAACAAGCACCCTGGTATCCCTATGGATGTCCCGGTCCTCAAACACTCTCTGCTTCATTAGGAAAAATGCTGCACTCGCAGAGCTCAGGCGGTGTTGTATTTCAGTGTCAATGTTGACTTTGGTGGAGAGGTGGCTGCCAAGGTAGTGGAAATGGTCAACATTTTCTAATGTTACACCATTAAGCTGTATCTCTGGCATTGGAAAGGGATTGGCTGGTGACTGCTGGAACAGCACTTTGGTTTTCTCGATGTTCAGTGACAGGCCGAGCTTCTCGTATGCTTCTGCGAAGGTGTTTAGAGTGGCTTGTAGATCTTCTGAATGCACACAGATGACGTTGTCATCAGCATACTTCCTGGTTACTACATTACCAGTAATGACTATCTTTGTCATCCTCTTCATTTCCTTTCAACTTCATTTCCTTTCAACTGGTAGATGAAAGTATTCCATATCTCATGCTTATGTTTAGAAATATTAGTAAAAGAAACCAACTAAAAAAACTGGGTTAACTTATCTGTGGGTCATTATGAGTATCAGAAAAGAACCACCCCTTTATCTCAGTAGAGTGGTACAAGGTAGGGGCACTTTTTCTACCCCAGAATAACCTATATAAATACTCTACTTTCTTTGTCATGGTGCCGCTTCTGAACTTTATGAATGCCTAGGGCAGGGAGAGACAGTGGTAGGCAGGGGTGGCTTGTTAGAACACTGTTGCTTGTAAAAAGAAGACTAAAGCTCATGTATTCAATGAAGAAATCTGCTTACAGATTGGTGCTTTCCCCTCTCTGCAGAATGAGCCTTCACTTATCCATAGAATATATAAAAATCCATAATTTTGGCTCAAAATGTATCCTTGACTTATACAAGAGTTCAGCTTATACATGAGTATATACAGTAGACATTTTATTACACGTTCTACCACATATTCCATAAGACATTGCATTTGATAAGATCCTTCTTCCCAAATGACAAAGTGTCACAGAAAAGAAGAGTGGTACCAGGATATTTTTGCCAATGAGTGAACATAGACTGAAAATAGCAATAGGCTAGTTCTAGAAATCTTTCTGCTTCCAGGCCAAAGTTTTTTGCCCAGGATAGATCAGGCAAGAGGAAAACCAGTACAAATTGCTGTAGTCCAATGATCCAAATAGAAACCCAGAGCAAAACATTGCAGCATGTTGTTAAATGGTTTCAGCTCCACAAGAACCACACATTCAGGGGCCTGGCAAGTCAAGCTCCAAAGGACCAAATAAGATACAGATGGGTTGAAAGCAAAGAACGTAAGCATTTATTCACACCCACAGTGGATGTAAATAAAGTCTGCACTCCAAAAACCAACATAAGCACAATTGTAAACATACAGA